GTGCAAACAGACCACCACCGTGCAGTCTTCTGGCAACGGTAAAACGCAATATCGGTCGTCCAGTCGCCTGTGTCGTGTGTCTAGCAATTTCTCCCGCTGTCTGCCGCCTGTTTCTTCTGGCGTGTAAGGCAATATACCGGTCATCTGCGGGTGTGGTTCCTCGTGGACGACCACTACTAAACCCCCGGATAGCTGTTCCTGTAATTTGAAATTATCTCCAAAGTCGTGAAACGATGCTATGAGCAATTCCGAACTCTGCAGCCACACTTGTCACACTACGGCCTTTCTCCAACTTCCTAATGATTCGACCTCGGGTAAAAGCATCCAGATGTCGTCTAACAGATTGATTTTTCGCCATTTCTCGCTGAGGGCAGCAACTCGGTGTGATTTTAACTGCTATACGGCGTGCAGTCTCTTTGCCAGAAATACTGAGCTTACACCGACAACATGCTTTATACTAGTCAGACACTCCCCTATTATGTCTACCTGCATATCTGTGCATGTGCTACCGTACATCACCTTACTTAATCTCCTGATTGGTCTTTCTGTCCGCTCTGCCTCTTCGTTCAGCTGATATGCTAATTTTTCGACTTTGTCCTTAATTTTTGCACACTAGTGTAAACCTGGACTAATCCGTAAAGAGAACAGCCCTCCATTGATCAGGCGTCCAGTGGACATGTTGTCAAACCCACTGAAAAGGGTACCTCCTATGGCGTGACTTGAATGGCACGCAAATGGTTGTTCGCCTCGCATACGTACCACCTTCGTGAAGCTTTCTACGCACAGTTGACGTTGACACCAACCTTCCGGTGGCTGCAGCAAGGGAGGATCTAAGAAGAGTCGGAGTAGTGGTTCTATTCTGGAGTGCACATAATGTCAAATATCGATCATCGGTGCTCGTCGTAGCAGTAGGCCATTCCTTGGCTGAACCTCCTAGGTGCCGAATCTGTGATTTAAAATTGCCTCCAAAGTCTATGAACCACAGAAGGACTCACATTTAGCCATCTGGCCACTTCTGTTTGACTTTGTCCTGCCTCTAGTCTCTCAATGGCTTTCTATTGTAGTTCTGTAGGCAAATGTTGGCTGGAGATCATCGTTACAGATTGGCTATCTCAGATTTCTGATGTCATTATCACAGTGAAATGTGTGGGCTTGCTCTCAAACATGTACTTTTATGCTCCTCGCAGATGACGTATTCAGAGTGTAGCGCCACTAATTTGCATATTGGAGTTTTACTCAGCTACTCTTACCTGGCAACATATTCAAATTTTACAGGTTTGGCTTATTTTTGAGGGAGTTATCGCTATTTTTGTGATTTTTCCTCAATTTATGATAACCAGTGTATATTTCATATTTCTTCTGAAATCCATATTAAAGAAATTAAATTAGTCACTTTTTCTATACATTCTAAATGCACTGAGTGTTTTTTTTTTTTTTCCAGAAAAACAGAAATCCTTAATTAAATCTAAAAATTCTAAAATGAAAAGGAAGCATTCTCAAGAAAGAAACTGAATACATAAAGAAAATTATTCTTCAAAGATATGTGCAGTTATTACAGTCAGAAGTCATTAATCCGGACTCGTCGGGACTTCGGCGATTCCGGATTATAGATCATCAGTTTAAATCTGGTAAGATGGCATGCAGAAATTACAAAATTAAAAATGTGAAACCGTAATTTATGAAATAAAGAACAATTATGATCTAAAGGGTATCAAAATTTACAAAAAGAAAAAGCTTAATATTTATTTGTTTACTTTATTAAACATTTCCTTCAATGTAAGTTGCTTCGTTTCATGTGATAATACTTTCTCTTTAATTCTATTAAACAGACATAATTTCTTGTTTAGTTACAAAGTTCCGCTGTTCAAGTCCTATAATTGCTGTGTTGAGAATACGGACTAATTTGTCAATCGAAATGTTTTCGTTTTCAATAACCTCTGGGTCACTTTCTTCACTATCTGAAGTGAATTATAATGACGAACTTGATTTAAATCATATCAAAGACTGAGTATATCGAGATGAAATACTACACTTAGTAGAGATGAAATACTACACTTAGTACGGAATTATAAACCAAATAAAATAAAAACATCTGCTCTGAAGATAAGGATAGTGCTGACAGATCAACTTCCAATCTGCATCGTGAAATTGATAAACAGATTTGGATTTCAAAACATACTTCGCTTTGTAATACAAATTACATATTAGTAAATAATATCGGAAATTCTATTTGACATAATCTTTCTAATCTATCATAATCTAATAATGACGTTTCTGCCCCCCCTCTGCTGTGAAATTGATAAACAGATTTCGGATTTCAAAACATACTTTCGCTTTGTAGTAAATATGTATTGGAAATTCTATTTGACATAATCGAAAGTTCAAGCTTACTTTTATAAAATTGCTCTAACAGTCTGCAAAAAATAATAAGCCGGATCCAATTCGAAGATTAAGGAACAACGCAATCTGCAACATTAACTGAATTAGATAACTTTAGCTTAGTGTATAACTCCGTTACACATTAAACGCGCATGCGCACAAACATATTCACAGCTGTAAGGGTCTTATGCGCTCTCGTAAACGCCTGTGCGCATGCGTGAACGCGACGCATGCGCAGAAAGTTTGTAGCTTTGAGGTCCGGATTATGGGTGTCCAAATTAACGACTTTTGACTGTATTATGTAAATTACCCAATTGTTTATGATTTCAGCCTTTACTATAATTTTCCATTTCTGTTTCCTCATATGATAGAGTTACTGAGCCAGATTAAATTAAAATTAAGTTGTATAATTTTTGACCACTAGTGTACATTTTTAGTTTGAATTTGACTGTTCTTGTTTAATTACGTCACCGTGAGATGTAATTCACTTTGTTAGCTCCAGAACATGCCTTCATGTTCTAAGTTCTCAATTTCTTTTTAAATAAGAGGCTTTTATTTAAATCTTTGTCTATTATTGTAGTTATTTTCAGACATAGCGGATAATGTGTGTCACATGTTTGTCGGGAGTTTTGGACTATTTAACTTTAATGTTTTACCAGATTAAGTAAAACCCATTTTAGAAAGGGATTTTTTTTTATTAATAAAGAAATTGAAAACAGCCACTTTGAGGTGAGGTTGACAAGTTAGGGGATAAAAGCACACAGGAACTAGCGAGAGGATTGGTTTGCGTATTGAGACAAATCTTCTAATTATTGTTAAAAAAGATGCTTAAAGAGAAGGAAATCGGTATATAAACTAGCCAAAATGTTTGAGTAGGCTTCAAATTAAAAATGACTGATAAATATTTTGTTGAATGTTGCTGCGACGAAACATAAATGTTTTGTAGCTTTTAATGTGTAATTATTCTAATATCCTTTAAGAATCAGTGTCATAAATTACATGTATTTTAAACTGTGAAATTTTGTAGATTTTGATTTTAATAGACTGTTAAAAAATAAAATTTAATAGTGGCCATGTAAATCCATAATGACTAAGGTTACCTATTTACCTAATTTAATTATTTATAACTGCTTACATCTCTACATATTAAAGCGAGTTATTGCCCTTCATTAATACTCACTGTGCTCACAAGATAAAACACAAAAATGTAGAAATTCAAGTAAAACTTATTCGTTGCATCTAGTGAGACTGGAAATAATACGAAACAACTTATCACCCCTGGTGCTTTAATGGCTTATTGGAACCTGAAAGTATATAAACTGGGTTACAATCCCTGGAACACAAAGCTATGACACTAACTGCATCAAACAGTGCCTGACTAACTTTCAACACTTGCCAACTGTGCCTACATCAGGCCTTTCAGGTTTATGAACTGGGTTACAACCCCTGGAACTCTACACAAAGCTATGACATTAACTGCATCAAACAGAGCCTGACTAACTTTCAACACTTGCCAATCGTGCCTACATGAGGCCTTTCAGGTTTGTTCTAATCAGCAGGTCTCTCTCTAGACAAGCAGCAGCAGTGATAACATTCAATCTTTTGGTTATGAATGATGTTGATTATGATCATGCTTCTCATTTTAACCTATGCCGTTTGACATAAAATCTACCTGCTATTTACTAAAACTCTAGACCAGCGGTTCTCAAGCTTTTGACTAACGTGTACCATCTAAACAAATATTGAAAACCTTTAGTACCACCACTACAAAGTACTGCTACTACCACCACTACAAATTACTGCTACTACCACCACTCTTGAACAAAGCTCAGGTCGCATAAATTTACGACTGTTAGAGAAAAAACTCAATCAGGATGTTGGTGCTTTAATTTTTGAAATAAATAGTTAAAAATACTTTGCTTCTTTGTATACCATCTGTTTTTTTTTTCTTGCGTACCACCGGTTGAGAACCTTTGCTCTAGGCTGACCAAGTATGTGACAAAATGAGACATAAAAAAACATCAACATAAAGCTAACTATTAGTAAAACGTAAATGTCGCATATCTTCTTTCAAATATGTCCAACCCATTATAAGTGTAAAATATTTAATGCTACTAGTTTACCAAGATATTACTTGGTAAACTGCATGAAGTTTATTTTATTCTCAAACTTATTAATACTTATATTCATTAATTCATGTTTAGTAATAATGTATACTACTTAGGGATCTATTTTATTTTTAGTATGGTATTACAAAAGTGAAATTTAGGCATAGAAAAATATTTTTAATTGAATTTATTCAGTTCCCATTTGCTCATAGGTCCTTAATTTTTTTTCATTAATGGTCCTTAAAAGTACTTAATTTCCGTGTACAGAAATGTGTACGAACCCTGTAAAATCGAATATCTTTGCCATTCTCTCGTTGCTCAAAGGAATGTATTTACAAAGATATCTTCACAGTTAGATAACTGTGTTGAAGTTAGTTTGGGAATTGCAACCTTAATTGCTAGAAGTGGCTGCCCATTTACTGATGGCGATTTGGAGGCGATTGTATATTGTTGGCATCCGAGAATGTATGCCCTGAAGTTACACAGAAATATAAAAATGTGAGTCTCAGCAGAATGGCAATTCAACGAAGATTTGAAAATTTATCTGATGATGTTACTGAACAATTACAGAATGCTGCTGCCAAATTTTCAGTACTTTTCTCTAGCAGCTGGATGAGTCAACAGATATTACTTCAACAGCTCGGTTTCATTTGTTTGTCAGAGGAATTTCTGAAAATTTTGAGGTAACTGAAAAACTTGTCGGAATGATTTTAATGAAGGGGTGAACAACTGGAACTGATATTTTATCCTGAGTTTTAAATTTGTGTTCCGCACATAATTTTGATATTAACAAACTTGTTAGTATCACTACCGATGGAGCTCCAGCCATGATTGGAATTCAGAATGGCATGGTGATTCTCCTGGGAAACCATTTGGATGATAGAGGAAAAGATTTGCTTGGGTATCATTGTATCATACACCAAGAACAGCTGTGTGCGAAAAAACTAAGATTTGACCACCGAATGAAATCACTTTAGTGAGCAATACAATCAGTTTTATTCGCTCACATGGTTTAAACCACAGGCAATTTAAGGAAATCCTAGAACACCCAGATGCACCACGTAGTGATCTTGTGTATTACTCTGGAGTTAGATGGTTGAGCCATGGAGAGGCTTTGAAAAGGTTTGCTGATTTGATTGATGAAATAATACCATTCATTGAAGGAAAGGGCAAGCAAACTAGGATTTTAAAGGAACCATCTTTCAAGTGTGACTTGGCATTTTTAGTGGATGTGACAGCCCATCTGAATGACCTAAACAAAAAATTGATGGGGAAAACCAATTCATCAATCACCTGGCGAATGAAATACAGTAGAAGTCCAGAAATTTGCAAAGCTTGGGACCAGCGGTTTGTCGATTTTACGGATTTCAGAACCGAAAAGATAAATCATAATTTTCAGACTAAAAGTGCAAAATAAATAAGGCGTATTAGATGCATTTAATTAAATTATTATATACGTTATTGCAATAACTTATTATATGTATTAAATTATTATTACATATATAAATTGATTATATTATTAATTGTATTATATATATACACAGTATCAAGGTTTGCCGATTTCGCCTTATGCAAAGATTTCTAGCTTCGGATTCCAGTGTTAGAATCTAAAAATTCCAGTGTTAGAATCTAAAATTTCAACAGCTTTTCTTTATTTTTCCGTATATCATACACAATTGTGTCACAATTTCATACGATTGTGCTATAAACTGAGGAGTAGCACCTGTCTCCATCTTTGCAGAATTTGTACTTTTTGCATAACCATCAATGCAACGTGTTTACGTTTTTCAACGTTGCAAGCAGTAAAATTATGAGTGCGTTTCTTATCTGTTATTGCATTAAAAAGGACTGAAATTAAAAATATTCTTAATTTATCCACAAAATATGCGGATTAAAAAAAAGGCAGCACTAAATAATCTCATGAAATAACAAAGCTCAGAAAATACAACAGCATGAATCGTGAACTTTAAAGAAGAGTGAATCGTCTGCACCTAGATGCAGATTAGAGGGGAAGAACTTTTATCATAATGTCAATAAATTTGGTATTTCTGTTATGACTCATTATTATTCGGTAATATGATGTCATTATTCGGTAAGTATTTTTTCTTTGAAATTTCATACTCAATGTTGGGATTTCTGGAACCAATAAACTGAATGTTTATATTTTGAGAGGCAATGTGAATTTCAGGAATTGGAGGATTTCAGGTCGGCGGAATTTCGGTATTTGACTGTATCTGCTTTCAAGTTAAAGCAGCTTGGCTGTCAAAATTCTGTCAATTTTCCTTACCTGAAGAAACTCGAAGAAAATTTTCCTGATGAACAACTGGATTATTCAAATCAAATAAAGATTATTTATTATTTCTTTTGAAAAGCTATTTGCAGACTTTGAGTTGCATAAGGGTAAATTTAAACTATTCAGGGATCCATTTTCTGTTGTGAAAGAAGCTGCAGAAGATTTTCAAATAGAACTTATCGATTTACAAAATTCTGACTTATGCAAATCCAGATTCTGTGATTTAGATATTCTGGACTTTTATAGAACTCTACCTGCCGAATTTTTGTGCTTAAAAAATAATGCAAGCAGATGTGCTAGCATGTTTGGTAGTACTTATATATGTGAACAAACATTTTCTCTTATGAATCTAAAGAAGTCAAAATTAAGAAATAAACTGACAGATCAGCACGTGCAATCTATCGTAAGAATATCTGCAACTAACTTTTAACCAAACATATAAAAAATTGTTGATAAAATTTAGACTCAAACTTCAAACTAATGTATTTAACTATGGCTAATGTGTACACATTTTTATTAAAATATTTATATACAAGTATTAAATTATCATGCATGAGCATAAGCTGTATTTTTTTCAAGTTGAACTGGGTGTTTTGGCCCCAGTAGCACATGCAAGGGAAACTCCATCCCTTTTTGCTTACATAATAGTCTCCAAATCAATTTAAATTTGATATGGTACATGTCTGAATTGCAAATTAAATGACTTATTAGATTGAGACCCCCCCCCAAATTTTTTCTTACATATTCTATTGGCACTCAACAACCAAGTCGTTTCTGTTAGTGGCCCTTCTGCTAAAAAGGTTGTGCATCCCTATTGTATGTTGTATAACATCAAATTAACCAATCAAAGATTAGCTCTACTTATACTTCAGACTTGGTATAAGTACTTTTGGCACAATAAATTACATCATTCTTCCCTTCCCTCACTGCTGCTCTGTTTACATAGCGTCGCTTTACCTTTGCTTAACTAATTATGTCATTTCTTATTAGAAACCAATGTACATAGAAATTTTATCATATATATTATGTTTATGACTGAATAAGTGTCTACTCAAGTAATTCAATACGTGTGAAAATAGACTGGTGATTTTTTGAAATTGTTTTGTTGCCTTCATTTGTATGCCTTAACCACAGCCATGACGGACATTGAAAGCTGTTAAGAGTTCCAGAGTTCGACCAGTGGCGTAAATAAGGGTATGCAAGGAATGCTGTCGCATAGGGGCCCGAAGGCTTAGGGGGCCCTTAAATATCCTGCTGAACTACATTTACATGTTTAAACTTAAAAGATGGATTCCATTACATATATATATAGAAGGTTTAATTCATTTTCCCTTGATGAGTTCGGAATTAGAATTTCAATAAAAGAAGATTAATTATTATTTTTATATTTTTATCTTGTATTTTTTTTTCCCCTTTTGCTTTTCATTTTTATTTTAGAATTTGTACTACTATTAATTCTTATTTTAATTTGATTATTTTTGATTTTGTGTTAAACCCCTTTTACACGATTGTTAATATTAATATAGTTGAGAATAGCCTTGATTTGACTTCAATTTACTTTTAACTTTAGAATCTTTAAGTATATGTAGATAATAGAATTCGTTTTCTTTTAAGTTTTTAAGGGCCCCCTACCTATATGGTGCGGTAACACAATTCTTTGTATGACGCAAATAGAAGGCCCTTGGAAGCACCTGAAACAGCTAAATTCAAGTGTTTGCAAAAGTTAAAATTCCAGCATTCGACTATGAAATAATAACTTCATGACCTACCCCAGTTTAGGGATAGCAGTGAGCAGAAAATAGGAAAAGTTTCATTCTATTGATTAGTCTCAAACCTGAAAATTATTAAAGACGACCCCCTAAAGGAAAGGTTTCTCCTTTTGCAATCCCAAATCAAAAAGCAATGGAAGTGGAAATTAATTGTAATTATTTATTATAAAGTACTTATTTTATATATTTTTGTTTCTGTATAATTCGCATTAGGATCGAATAATCAGTAGACATATTTTCTAAGTAAGATCAAAGAAGTAACTAGGCAGGATTCTGGTATTTACTTTGGAATGAACTTTGCAAGTTGCAAGTTAAGAAAAATCGTGGTATATTATTTGCAGTTCGTAATTTTTCATAATATGTCATTCCGGTAGCGTTTAATTGTGTTCATATATTGAATCTCTTACTAGCTTTTCCATTAAACGTAAGTCCAAAAATCAGTCCTAATATTCAATTTGAAATTGAATTGATTAATGTGAAGTGATTCTTAGAATTTAATATAACATGTATTGCTGTTGATTCGCTATAAACGGCGTATCACTTTTCAAATTGTTTGCCATCAAATAATTTCAACCTGTATTAATTCAACCTGTAAAGAAATTAAATAAGGAAGAATCTGCATGTTTGAATGTATAGTTCTTACAATGTAAAAAACGATGGTACTTGCAACCTGTGCAGTCGCACCAAGGGGCAAGGTAAGAGACAGAAACATTTTGTATTTAGAAGCACAATTGAAATTACAAAACGGCAAAGTTAAAGGCAGATCGATTTTTTTCTCTCTTTTTTACGCTAATAAGCTGGAGGGGTGAGGAATCATTCGTAAGTATTAATTGCTAACTCAAGAATACATGCTTTTCTTTCTTAAGGACACAAAATCATTGACATAAGTTGAGCAGTTGTGTCATGAAAGGACTTTGCCCCACCCCCATGTCGAAATGCGGTTCTAGTCCAGGAAATGGAAAGAATTTATGGCACCACATTTGGAAAGGAGAGATTTCCCGTTCGGCTTAGGGATCTTTGAATGAATTCAAGGTCCGAAAAAAGGGGGGAGTTTTACGACAGGCTACGAACACACAGATACTTAAACATCAAGGGACCAAATATTTCAATTAATTTCCGGCGTAAATTTAATGAAATTTTTTTCATTAAATTTATTGAAATTCATTACTTTTTCACTCATGGGGGTAGGAAAATGGAATGGATGAATATTTTTACTTGAAATAATGAGTAAATAAATATTTATCCAATTTATTATATCAAAGTTTTCAAAATATTATCACATTTGCGGATAAAATGCAGGTTAGGAATTCTTTAAAATCCCTTATCGAGAATTAAATCTGAAAACACAGAACTTGTTTGAGGATTTACTCGATTTGCTTTAGAAAAGAGAAGAGCTATAGTGTTTCTTAACCTGTAAATTACACATCTACCAAAAATTCCACACTTATTTGTAAAAGATAATTCTGAAGACATTAAATTTGTTTTGAAAGTATATAATCTCTCTCTCGTTTCGAAAAAATACAATAAATTAAAAATTTTTTTTAACAAGCGTGAAACATTTAAGCGTATAATTGAAGTAATGCGCAATAATTTGTAGGTTATTTAAACATGGAATTGAATTGAATTATTATATAATAATAAAGCACTTCGAAGGACTATTTGCCTAAGGGAAAGAATGCCTTCATGGAGTACTTTCTAATCGTTCTTCAAAATGAAATTTTACAATTTGACTTTACTTTTGCTTTTAATTTACTTTACACAGCATTCAGTACGTGAAATCATCATAATCGTATAATATTGAAAGTAAAAATGGCATCACACAACTAAAAGTATATACTCCTTCGTAAATTTCGATAAATTAATTACTGAAAATATTAAACATATTTTTCATATCAATAAGGCCAGCGTTGCCCTAACAGTTTTAAGTTGCATTTCAACATCTGAAAAATGCAAATTACAAGCTATTTTCACTACACAAAACCAATGGAATATTTCAGAAAAGAACGCTGCCCCGTTATTGCAATATTTCAACAATATTTTTTGTAAATTAAAAATTTATTAACACGTTTTAATAGTAAAATGATGCGGTTTTCACTCATAAAATCCCTTTGCACATTATTCTCTTTCATTTCGGCATCACTGCATACTTTTCTAAGACATAAATAGCTTCCGTTAATATATGTTCCCATACATTATATTTATTTTTTATATTTTTGTCATTAATAAATTAATGATTAAGATAAAAAAAATTGATACTCCTTAATTTATAAGCAATGTAAAGACCGGAAATCTGAGGTCATTAATTTCTGAGACATAAATAGCTTTCTAAGATAAAATAAAACATAACAATAATCATAAATATTAATGCTCCTAAAATAAATGCTTTTCCTAACTGATTTTTGCTTTCTGATCCACCTGTGGTACAACAAACCTATTTTCATAAATGAAGTTTTGCGCATTTCTCTACAAAGTACGCAAAACTTGTTTCATACAATTTTATTTTTACTGAAGAATGTTGTTTTCTAAACAAATATTTATGTGTACTACTTTTAGAATCCAATAAAAAGTATGCAAAACTTGTTTCATACAATTTTATTTTTACTGAAGAATGTTGTTTTCTAAACAAATATTTATGTGTACTACTTTTAGAATCCAATAAAAAGTATGCAAAACTTGTTTCATACAATTTTATTTAATTTTTATTATTGCGAAAGTACGCAAAACTTGTTTCATACAATTTTATTTTTACTAATTATGAAGAATGTTGTTTTCTAAACAAATATTTATGTGTACTACTTTTAGAATCCATACGACAGAGTGTGAGTACTCATCTTCAAATATACGTTAGTATCAATAAGCTTAACTCTAAATTATTAAACATTTCTGGGACCTTGAAACTTGTAAGGGAATCGTCATATTTTTCTACAGTGGGTATTTAAATTTAGATTAATTTTAAAATTTCCATTTCGTATTACACAATCATTTTCAAAGCTCTTTGGATACATATCAATAAAATTTGTTTCTACCTGTTTATGATTTCATAGTAAACTTGCGAAGAATTTCCTAAAAATATTCAAATATCCATAATTTTTACTGTTAAATCTTTAATAATTATACATTAACTGAAATGCATTTATAGTACAGAAGAAATGTAGAAAGATATTGCAGGTGATGTATTATGTATCATTGGTATATGACAATAATAATACACTCATGTCCATAAATTAAGGATAATGCAAAATCAGGCAAAGGAAGAGTTAGAAGCAAAACAAATTTGACTTATTTGTTAAGCTTATTTATTAAACAAAAGGTAAAGATAAAAAAAAGATGCTATATGTTTGATATTCTTAAAAAATTAGCGATTTTTTCTCCCTGGAGCAAATTACAAAAAAAAAAAAAAAAATAAAACACCTATTTACAAAAAAACAATATTACATGGTTGGTATGATTGTTAATACATTGTATGTCTCCCAGACGATGCTATACAGTCCGTACAACGCCTAGGCATGCTGAGTATCCTTTCCTTTGAAGCTGTTGTACAAAAACAATAACAGTTACATGGTTGTGCAACAGGTATTTTGTGTGTGTTTTTTTTTTTTAATTACATATAAGGATTCAATTTCTTCTCATACAA